GCCTACAGGGCCGTATCAAGGACTCCCTTATACCGCACCTCAAGCTTCCCTCTGGTGAGGTTGTCTCTGACTTGGTGGGTATGACGGAGCATTGCTCTGACTACTTTGCCACACTGTATAATGGCCTGACCCCTATCTCTCGTGACCCTTCCTTTTGGGTTCATGTTCGGCCATCTGTCTTGCCTCCTGCCTGCTCTGTCCGTCTGGACCAGCCTTTTTCCCTAGCAGAAATTGAACAGGCCCTCTGGCGACTAGCCAGAGGTAAGACACCTGGCCCTGATGGGCTCCCTGGTTAGCTTTTTCGCTCCTATAAGCGACTGTTCTCCCCTCTCTTTCAGACACTGTGCACCTCTATCCTTGCCCAAGGGCAGATTCCGAACTCCATGAAGACAGGCAAGACTGTGCTTATTCCCAAGCGGGGTAGCACAGAGGTGGTGTCGAATCTGAGGCCAATCACTCTAATGAATGCGGATTATAAGGTTATAACCCTCATTCTAGCCTCCCGCTTACAGGCCGTGCTCCCCAAAATCATTAACCCTGCTCAAGCTGCATTCATCAAAGGGCGTCGTATCGGTGATACGATAAATGACACCCTGGATCTCATGGAGTGGGCCATCTCACAAGATAACCCTCTCCTCGTCCTCACAGTGGGTATAAGGAAAGCGTACGATATGGTTGATCGGCAGTTCATGTATCACTGCCTTCAACACTTGGGGCTCGCGCCGGGCTTTATTCGATGGGTCTCTTTGCTTCATTCTGAGACCTCCACCAGAATCTCTGTTAACAACTTCTCTGGCCCCATCTTTCCGGTACGCTCAGGTGTTCGTCAGGGGTGCCCGTTAGCCCCCCTTTTATTTGTCTGCGTGATCGAGGTTATGCAGCGTTACTTACAGGCCTTCCTTCCCGGCTATGCTTTCAACCAGTCCCAACGGAGGTTAGCAGCGTGCTACGCCGATGATGTGTCAATTTTTCTCAACTCAGATGCCGAACTGCAGATCACCTCTCAAGCGCTCAGTACATTCCCAGCCATGTCTGGGGAGCACCCGAATTGGGGTAAATGCTCAATTATTCCTATTAACTTACATGGTACCACGTTGCTCCACACAGGACAAATCCCTGTCAGGGGTGCGGACGAACCGGAGCGGATACTTGGGATCTATGTGGAGCTAAGTCAACCGAGAGCCACCACTTGGGACAACATTATTCCCCACGTTCGGGGCACCACCAAACTTCTGGCCAAGTTCAAAGCCACTACCTCTTGTCGCTCTCTCCTCGCCACGGAAAGGCTCGCCTCACTATACGCTTATGGTGCCAGATTCCAACCACCCCCAACCCTCATCATTACCACACTGGACAGGACCATCGGTATCTTCCTTTCCAACTCCCGGTATAAGGAGGACGGTCTCGCGACCAGGATGATGCCCAAACGTATCCTGTACAATAAGAAGAAGCATGGCGGCGTTGGAGCCTTGGAACCCTCTTCACACATTCGTGCGTTGAACATCCAAAGAGCGGTACGGAGATTCCGTGCTTCACCATATGAGGATGTCGCTCAATCGTGTGTTACTGTTCCCTTTGGCCTGCATTGTTATCTCGCTCACCCATCCATCACCAAATTCCTCCCCCCACAAGTACCAGACAGATTTCGGGCCGAGCTGGAAGCGGTGATACCCCTTCCTTCAGTTGTGAAACCTCCTCGGTTAGAACCCTGGAGTCTCATGGCTGAACCTGTTGCCTTCAACAGATTCATTTGCAAGGAACCCAATGTCCCCTTCGGCTGCTTGAAGGATGAGAAATTCCTACTCACCGATCAGATCCGACTTGGGAATCTCCTCGTCGCCACACGATATGGAGCGAGACGCCTTGAAGAAGAAGAAATCTTTGAGAAATTCCCACCCTCTATTTTTCCAGGAAGTCGGTCGCTCATCCTCAGTATCTTCGACTCCATTCCTATCAGCTGGTGGGCTACACTCAGAAGATTCGCCCCACACAAGAATTACCTGGCCGTCGATGACTGGGTTTTGGAGGCTAAACACAAATACCTTCCTAGCAGAATTCTCCGTGTCTCACTCTTACTTCCAGATTTCAAAGCGCGGTTCAACATCTTCCACGTTCTTCAAGGGAGACAGGTGGAAACCGTGAGCAATGGCAGCTGCACGTTGGCATTTAAAGATGTCATCCCGGTCCATGTCCGTGGTCGTTGGCTAGCGGGCCCTTATGACTCTGGACCCGCCCTTGGCTCCAGACACGGACTATTTGCGGGCTCTCCCTCGCTCGCTGACATCAGGCATTTGATCTACCAGCCCCTGCCTCTCAACCACATGGAACGTTGGAACGTCTGCTTACGTGATCCCATTCCGTTTCTTCCGGACTACCAACACTCGTTCCTCAGGGACCAACCTTCTCGACAACGTGACGTCCTATTTCGCCTTTTCACCCTCACTCTTCCGTCCGGCTCCAGTTATCGCTTCACATCCTCTGCGTGCCCTCGCTGCGGACCCCCTTTAATCGAAGACTTACCTCACATGTTTTTCGATTGTGGGCATGCGCCTGCGGTGGTCGAGTCAATTCAACGTGTTGCTGTACGCCATCTCAATACTACTGTTGAAACTGCGGCGGTATTCTTTCCGCTCCGTCACCCATCCAGTCTCACGGCGCCGTGGTGCCTGCTGGTCGGTGCAGCTGCTACAATCCTTTGGAGAGACCGGTGCTCTTTTCATTATGAGCAGACGTCGTACTCGCGCCTGGAGACATTACACCGCATCCTAACCCTATTCCTGACTGCGTGTAAGATCTACTTCAACCGCCGTTCCAAATGGTATGACAAAAAGAAGCGCGCCACGATTAATCGTGTCAAGGCTGCTTCCTCGCTACGGCTACTTGTGTTTGGACCGGATGGCACCCCGCAACTTCATCCAACTCTACGAGAATCGTGGCTGCTGAACGATACGTTCCATCCTCCTTAGAAGTAGTTGGACTTTAGCTGTACAAACCGGTTAAGGCCTTGGCCTTCATTCTATCGTTGGATAGACAAGTAACGCTGTTTTAGTGTAGGTCTTCTAGACCTTGGCTCTAGCCATGCTTGTGTGTTAGTACTGTATGCGGTTACGACCATAATAAAAACTTAAAACTTAAAACCTCCAGGCCAAACGACACGAACACCTGTCGCACACTCTGACCTGGCTCATCATACGACGTTTCGGAACGCGTTCTGGTAGATCTGTAGGCTCTCATTGGCTGAGAACATAATTGCGATGCAATATGAGACCTGTAACCCTACAGGTTAGGCAAATCGAGAATGCACGCGCACTTCTCGGTTTAGGTCAGTCAGGAAGTTAACTGGAGTACACACAATTATTTGTCCAGGAGGCAAAAAAACTACGTTCTTGCACGACGTTCTGACCAAGAGCCGTGATTATTGCTGTCTTGAGCGACGTTCTGCTCCCGCTTCATTCCAGCTCGTCACGACGTTCATTCCTGCTCCATGGCATTGATGGTGTGACGCGATCCTTTTCGACGATCAAATTCCAGCTTGTGAAGCGATTTCTCCAGAGTCGTCTCTCCATTCTTACCATTTCGTGAAGAATAGCTTCAGCTGAACTTCATCCAAGCTTGATCGGAAGTTTTCGCCGATTGCTCCTACACTACCATCCACCTGAAGCTATCCTGCTGCCTTTCTGCTGCTTCTGCTGCTGCTGCTGCTGCTGCTGCAGTCGGCCATATTCCTTGCTGACCTCATTTTCGACGCAATAATCAGTAAGGGTTTCGAGTTCGCTTAGAACGAGCCATGGAGGTCGTGCGATTTTCCAAGTCCCTTCACACGGCCATTGGCGAGATGCTGGCTCACAATGATCAATTCGAAGACCGTTATTTGCCTACTTCCGTTCATAGTGTACAGGGTGCTTTTGCTAGTACAGCAGCGGCTTACCCGTCATCGCCGCAATGTGTATCGCATCCAGTTAACAATCTTCAGTCACTTGCCAAGCAGCCTGCCTCATCGTTAAACGGAACCGGCGGGTTCCCAGCAGCGTTCCTGCTCTTTGAAAAAGATGCACAGCACGCCGCGAAACCCGGCCTCTCCACGGCAATCGACGTCGCATGCTCACAAATCCGCGGCGTCGACACTTATCCACACTCAAACGCTCTCAAGCCATCATCTACACACCATCTCCCGTCGTTTCCCGCCTCCACCCCCGCCTCGGATCATCGCGTATCAGCTCTCGTGATCTGCTGGAGGACGCTGCTGCAGCTGGCGATGCTCGGACGGACCCTCGGGCAGGTGCTGGAGCGAACCGTTCTCGTGAGCACCTTGTATCAACGGCTCGCGCGCAGCCGATTAGTGCGGCAGAAACCGACGGCCAGGGGCTTGCCCTTCTGACGGCCGGTGCTACAGGGGAGAGAGGCACCGTTACCCCTGCCCGATCATCAATAATGAATAAACGCGTTAGTCCAGTGACAAACGTGATCAATAAACCAGATAACTTGTGTTTGTGTTGTTTAGAGATGAACCAGATATCTTGTCCAGTGAATATCTTTCACAAGCCACATGTGGGCCCAAATTAAGCTACCATTACAAAGGTTGAGCAAACTCAAAACCAGATCTGCCTTCTCACATTGCCTCATGGTACGGTACCTTCCAACCAAATGTGGGCCTATTTAACCATGCTGCTGATCTTACAAAATCCCAGTGGTTAAATAGCTGACAAAACCCACACTCTGCTGTTGCAGTGCAGTGAGTTCAATTAAAACCCACACTCTTTGCCGGACTGCAATACCATAACATCTTAACTAAGCATCCCCAGGGTCGCCTTCAGCTTTGCGTTTTCTACTCAAAGCCCCCCCCTCCACTCCCCCCTCCCCATCCACACCACCCTGTCCCTTCACTCCACCCTCCTTTCGAGACGTCTCATTAGTCTCCTTCGCTCCTTCCCCCTCGCCTTGCTTCTCTGCCCCATCCTTCCCCTTCTCATTCCCCTCCCCATCCCTCCCCTCATTATCGCCCCCCTGCCCATTTTTCGCCTGCCCGGTCACCCTCTGCACCTTTTCCCCCTGCCCGTTTTCCTCCTGCCCGTTAGCTGCTCTCTCCGCCACCTTTTTCTTCCAGAAGGCCGCCAGCCTGGCACACGCCACTGATAGCTGGTCGAGCGGCATGGCAGCGTAGCACACGCGGAAGAACCCCGGCTCGCCATAGTGGCATGCTTCTCCTGCTCGAATCCAGGCATAAAATGGGGCAATGGGAGCACGATGTGGGGAGAGGAAGAGAGGCATGGGGCATTGAGCATGGAGGCATGGCGGCATGGCGGCATAGCACACTAGGAAGGACCCCGGCCCGCCATAGTGGCACGCCTCCCCTGGTTGTGGCAAGACAGGAGATTTGGGGCAATGGGGGCAGGGGGCGGGGCGAGGAAGGGAGGCATGGGGAAATGCGGCATGGCAGCGAAGCACACGCGGAACAACCCGGGCTTGCCGTAGTGGCATGCATTCCCTGGTTGTGGCATGCATTCCCTGGTTGTGGCATGCATTCCCTGGTTGTGGCATGCATTCCCTGGTTGTGGCATGCATTCCCTGGTTGTGGCATGCATTCCCTGGTTGTGGCATGCATTCCCTGGTTGTGGCATGCATTCCCTGGTTGTGGCATGCATTCCCTGGTTGTGGCATGCATTCCCTGGTTGTGGCATGCATTCCCTGGTTGTGGCATGCATTCCCTGGTTGTGGCATGCATTCCCTGGTTGTGGCATGCATTCCCTGGTTGTGGCATGCATTCCCTGGTTGTGGCATGCATTCCCTGGTTGTGGCATGCATTCCCTGGTTGTGGCATGCATTCCCTGGTTGTGGCATGCATTCCCTGGTTGTGGCATGCATTCCCTGGTTGTGGCATGCATTCCCTGGTTGTGGCATGCATTCCCTGGTTGTGGCATGCATTCCCTGGTTGTGGCATGCATTCCCTGGTTGTGGCATGCATTCCCTGGTTGTGGCATGCATTCCCTGGTTGTGGCATGCATTCCCTGGTTGTGGCATGCATTCCCTGGTTGTGGCATGCATTCCCTGGTTGTGGCATGCATTCCCTGGTTGTGGCATGCATTCCCTGGTTGTGGCATGCATTCCCTGGTTGTGGCATGCATTCCCTGGTTGTGGCATGCATTCCCTGGTTGTGGCATGCATTCCCTGGTTGTGGCATGCATTCCCTGGTTGTGGCATGCATTCCCTGGTTGTGGCATGCATTCCCTGGTTGTGGCATGCATTCCCTGGTTGTGGCATGCATTCCCTGGTTGTGGCATGCATTCCCTGGTTGTGGCATGCATTCCCTGGTTGTGGCATGCATTCCCTGGTTGTGGCATGCATTCCCTGGTTGTGGCATGCATTCCCTGGTTGTGGCATGCATTCCCTGGTTGTGGCATGCATTCCCTGGTTGTGGCATGCATTCCCTGGTTGTGGCATGCATTCCCTGGTTGTGGCATGCATTCCCTGGTTGTGGCATGCATTCCCTGGTTGTGGCATGCATTCCCTGGTTGTGGCATGCATTCCCTGGTTGTGGCATGCATTCCCTGGTTGTGGCATGCATTCCCTGGTTGTGGCATGCATTCCCTGGTTGTGGCATGCATTCCCTGGTTGTGGCATGCATTCCCTGGTTGTGGCATGCATTCCCTGGTTGTGGCATGCATTCCCTGGTTGTGGCATGCATTCCCTGGTTGTGGCATGCATTCCCTGGTTGTGGCATGCATTCCCTGGTTGTGGCATGCATTCCCTGGTTGTGGCATGCATTCCCTGGTTGTGGCATGCATTCCCTGGTTGTGGCATGCATTCCCTGGTTGTGGCATGCATTCCCTGGTTGTGGCATGCATTCCCTGGTTGTGGCATGCATTCCCTGGTTGTGGCATGCATTCCCTGGTTGTGGCATGCATTCCCTGGTTGTGGCATGCATTCCCTGGTTGTGGCATGCATTCCCTGGTTGTGGCATGCATTCCCTGGTTGTGGCATGCATTCCCTGGTTGTGGCATGCATTCCCTGGTTGTGGCATGCATTCCCTGGTTGTGGCATGCATTCCCTGGTTGTGGCATGCATTCCCTGGTTGTGGCATGCATTCCCTGGTTGTGGCATGCATTCCCTGGTTGTGGCATGCATTCCCTGGTTGTGGCATGCATTCCCTGGTTGTGGCATGCATTCCCTGGTTGTGGCATGCATTCCCTGGTTGTGGCATGCATTCCCTGGTTGTGGCATGCATTCCCTGGTTGTGGCATGCATTCCCTGGTTGTGGCATGCATTCCCTGGTTGTGGCATGCATTCCCTGGTTGTGGCATGCATTCCCTGGTTGTGGCATGCATTCCCTGGTTGTGGCATGCATTCCCTGGTTGTGGCATGCATTCCCTGGTTGTGGCATGCATTCCCTGGTTGTGGCATGCATTCCCTGGTTGTGGCATGCATTCCCTGGTTGTGGCATGCATTCCCTGGTTGTGGCATGCATTCCCTGGTTGTGGCATGCATTCCCTGGTTGTGGCATGCATTCCCTGGTTGTGGCATGCATTCCCTGGTTGTGGCATGCATTCCCTGGTTGTGGCATGCATTCCCTGGTTGTGGCATGCATTCCCTGGTTGTGGCATGCATTCCCTGGTTGTGGCATGCATTCCCTGGTTGTGGCATGCATTCCCTGGTTGTGGCATGCATTCCCTGGTTGTGGCATGCATTCCCTGGTTGTGGCATGCATTCCCTGGTTGTGGCATGCATTCCCTGGTTGTGGCATGCATTCCCTGGTTGTGGCATGCATTCCCTGGTTGTGGCATGCATTCCCTGGTTGTGGCATGCATTCCCTGGTTGTGGCATGCATTCCCTGGTTGTGGCATGCATTCCCTGGTTGTGGCATGCATTCCCTGGTTGTGGCATGCATTCCCTGGTTGTGGCATGCATTCCCTGGTTGTGGCATGCATTCCCTGGTTGTGGCATGCATTCCCTGGTTGTGGCATGCATTCCCTGGTTGTGGCATGCATTCCCTGGTTGTGGCATGCATTCCCTGGTTGTGGCATGCATTCCCTGGTTGTGGCATGCATTCCCTGGTTGTGGCATGCATTCCCTGGTTGTGGCATGCATTCCCTGGTTGTGGCATGCATTCCCTGGTTGTGGCATGCATTCCCTGGTTGTGGCATGCATTCCCTGGTTGTGGCATGCATTCCCTGGTTGTGGCATGCATTCCCTGGTTGTGGCATGCATTCCCTGGTTGTGGCATGCATTCCCTGGTTGTGGCATGCATTCCCTGGTTGTGGCATTCCCTGGTTGTGGCATGCATTCCCTGGTTGTGGCATGCATTCCCTGGTTGTGGCATGCATTCCCTGGTTGTGGCATGCATTCCCTGGTTGTGGCATGCATTCCCTGGTTGTGGCATGCATTCCCTGGTTGTGGCATGCATTCCCTGGTTGTGGCATGCATTCCCTGGTTGTGGCATGCATTCCCTGGTTGTGGCATGCATTCCCTGGTTGTGGCATGCATTCCCTGGTTGTGGCATGCATTCCCGGGTTGTGGCATGAGACCTCACTCATATGACATGAGCCTCACCAGCTGTAGTAGCAACGCTACAGCAGCCGCTCCACCTCGAAGGTAGGTCGGAGAGGATGGGGGTGATACTTAAGCATCGGGGTGACTGATGCGCCATTTTACCTGGCGTAATCCCCACCTCACCTGATGAGATGCCCACCCATCGCACCTGGAGTGATCACAATCTTGCACGAGTCGAGGATCTCACGCCACAGCAGCCGCTCCGCCTCAAAGGTGGGGTGAGAGAGGATGGTAACCAGACTAGCAGCATCTCTACCTGGCATGGTATGAGCCTCACCGGCTGTAGTGGCAATGGTACCTAAGAGAAAGGGTGCCGCACCTGGAGTGATCACAATCTTGCACGAGTCGAGGATCTCGCGCCACAGCAGCCGCTCTGCTTCAAAGGTGGGGTGAGAGAGGACGGCGCGCAGGTCGAGCCAGCAGAACATGGCGGCACATGCCGGCTGGTACTGCATGCCCGCTGCCTCGAACGCCGATGTCAGCAGGTCGTACGACATCTTGAGGCGCCTAGGGTGGTGGGGAGGAAGGTATACGAATGGGGGGGAAAGGAGAGGTCTGGTTATCAGGCAGGGGTGACTGACGGAGGGAAGGAAGCGCATGGAGGAGAGGGGTGGGGGAGCAAGGGGTGGGGTGAGCGAGGATGCGGCGCAGGTCGAGTCAGCAGAACATTGCGGCACATGACGGCTGGTACTGCATGCCTGCACTCACCGTTTATTCTTGTGCACGTGTCATGCATGCCCTCTCACCGTTGATGGATTCTCACCGTTGATTCTCGGACACGTAGGAGTCGACAAACTTGTCATCTTCCAGCATCACGGACAGGGCGTGCTGCTGTATGAGTGGCTGGTGAGTGTGCTGTAGTGATGCATTGATGCATCACTGTCTGCTGCCGCTTCACCACTTTCTCGAACCACCTTCCCCATTCTCACCGTTTATTCTCGGACACATATGAGTCCATGAATTTATAATCTTCCAGCATCACTGTCTGTCGCTTCACCACTTGCTCTCACCACTTGTCCCTCAGTGCGCTTCCCCATTCTCACCGTTTATTCTCAGACACGTATGAGTCGACGAACTTGTCATCTTCCAGCATCACAGACAGGGCGTGCTGCGGGTGAATGATTGGTGGGTGTGCGCTGCATGCCGCAGGCCCCCACCGTTTGATCTTGTGCGCCTGTTAAGCATGCACTCTCACCGTTTATTCTCCGAGACATAGGAGTCGACGAACTTGTCATCTTCCAGCATCACGGACAGGGCGTGCTGCGTGAGAGCAGGGTGAGGGTCAGCCTGCCGTCAGTCACTGAGGCAGTGCCACTGAACGAGTCCGTACCGTTTGTGCCATCACATCACTGTGAGCCTCCCTCCTCACCGTTTATTCTCAGAGACGTATGAGTCGACGAACTTGTCATCTTCCAGCATCACAGACAGGGCGTGCTGTGTGTCGTTTGACACTGCTGCAAACATGCCAATGTTCTGCCAGAACTGGGGGTCGCAGGGGCAATAAGGGGAAGGGAGTACACACGACATGGTGGGGTGTGGGTGAATCGAGTGGGTAATGGTGTGCTGCGAGTTGCTTGACACCGCCGCCAACTGCCAGTGTTCTGCCAGAACCGAGAGGGCCCAGGAGCAACGAGCGAGAGATGGTGGTGTGTGGGTCGGTTGAAGGAACGGCATGGCTATGGAAGTGTAAGGACGCGTCACAATTGAAATACCGCGGAAGGATCGGGGGTCTTCACCGATCCTGCTAAATCGATCGCCAGATCGGTGCGCCACGACTGCATTTTTGCAATCGCGGGCCCACCGCAATTCTCAAGGGACACGTTTGAAAAATCTTGGGGCAAAATCGCCCGATCTGGACGAAATTGCACGATCGATGTGTGGCAAGGGCACATCGATCGCGTGACTCCGAGGGGACAACTGTACATTGGCGAGAGATAACGAAGCCAAGTAACCACCATTCCGCAACTTAACGAAGTACTGTACCCGCGAAACACCGATCCTGCGCAGGATCGATGTTTCAATTGTGACGCGTCCTAAGGTGAGATGCTGGCATGGTACGGCATGGCATGGTACGGTATGGCATGGCATGGCATGGCATGGCATGGCATGGCATGGCATGGCATGGCATGGCATGGCATGGCAAGGCGCGGATCAGCATGGCAAGCATGAATGAGTGACTCACTGCCAGCAGGTTCTAGTTCTTGGTGTGCACTAAACCAAAGTTAAGAACCGATCAGGCGGCATCCCACTCTGAACCCGTTCATGCCAAAGTTATTACCCAAGCTGTCTCAACCCACCCACTCCTCATGGTGTGGCATGGCATGGCAAGGCTTGGCATGCATGAGTGAATGAATAACGCATGCCAGTAACTGACCGCAAGAAGGTCCTTGTTCTTGGTGTGCAGGCACCCCACTCGGAACCCGTTCATGCCAAAGTCCTTGCTCATGCCATACGCCGTGTGCACCCGCTCCTCTCTCAGTGCCTGTGGTAGCCGTCCCTCCGCCACCAGGTGACCCGCCACCTTCTCTATGCTCACGAACTCAGACGCTGATGAGCTGCATGCAGGGGAAACGAGGGGAGAAGGGGGCGAGTTGAGCGTTGTGCATGCCTGTGGTAGCCGCCCCTCCGCCACCGGTGACCTGCCACCTTCTCTATGCTCACGAACTCAGACGCTGATGAGCTGGAGCCAGGGTGATGGGTGAGGGGGGGTTGACGGAAGAGCGGGGAAGGAGTTGAGAGTGTTATGCCCATCTGACCCAGCCGCCCCTCCGCCACCAGGTGACCCGCCACCTTCTCTATGCTCACGAACTCAGACGCTGAAGATCTGTATGCAGGGGAGCGGGGAAGAGGGAAACGACAGGCAGGGGGGAGGAGGGGGAGTGAAGGCGGGGGATGCACGTGTGCCTCAGTCTCCCATCCGCCATAAAGTGGCATGGAGTTGGAGTGAATCTCGTCTGACAGCACTTGCAGCTCGTGGAGGCTTTAGCAGCCCAAAAGCTCGAGAGAGGCAGAGAGGGCAGCGAGGGCAGAGAGGGCAGCGAGGGCAGAGAGGGCAGCGAGGGCAGCGAGGGCAGAGAGTGCAGCGAGGGCAGAGAGGGCAGCGAGGGCAGAGAGGGCAGCGAGGGTAGAGAGGGCAGCGAGGGCAAAGAGGGCAGCGAGGGCAAAGAGGGCAGCGAGGGCAGAGAGGGCAGCGAGGGCAGAGAGGGCAGCGAGGGCAGAGAGGGCAGCGAGGGCAGAGAGGGCAGCGAGGGCAGAGAGGGCAGCGAGGGCAAAGAGGGCAGCGAGGGCAGAGAGGGCAGCGAGGGCAAAGAGGGCAGCGAGGGCAGAGAGGGCAGCGAGGGCAGAGAGGGCAGCGAGGGCAAAGAGGGCAGCGAGGGCAAAGAGGGCAGCGAGGGCAAAGAGGGCAGCGAGGGCAAATAGGGCAGCGAGGGCAAAGAGGGCAGCGAGGGCAGAGAGGGCAGCGAGGGCAGAGAGGGCAGCGAGGGCAGAGAGGGCAGCGAGGGCAGAGAGGGCAGCGAGGGCAGAGAGGGCAGCGAGGGCAGAGAGGGCAGCGAGGGCAGAGAGGGCAGCGAGGGCAGAGAGGGCAGCGAGGGCAGAGAGGGCAGCGAGGGTTGAGAGGGCAGCGAGGGCAAAGAGGGCAGCGAGGGCAAAGAGGGCAGCGAGGGCAGAGAGGGCAGCGAGGGCAGAGAGGGCAGCGAGGGCAGAGAGGGCAGCGAGGGCAGAGAGGGCAGCGAGGGCAGAGAGGGCAGCGAGGGCAAAGAGGGCAGCGAGGGCAGAGAGGGCAGCGAGGGCAGAGAGGGCAGCGAGGGCAGAGAGGGCAGCGAGGGCAGAGAGGGCAGCGAGGGCAAAGAGGGCAGCGAGGGCAAAGAGGGCAGCGAGGGCAAAGAGGGCAGCGAGGGCAAAGAGGGCAGCGAGGGCAGAGAGGGCAGCGAGGGCAGAGAGGGCAGCGAGGGCAGAGAGGGCAGCGAGGGCAGAGAGGGCAGCGAGGGCAGAGAGGGCAGCGAGGGCAGAGAGGGCAGCAAGGGCAGAGAGGGCAGCGAGGGCAGAGAGGGCAGCGAGGGCAGAGAGGGCAGCGAGGGTTGAGAGGGCAGCGAGGGCAAAGAGGGCAGCGAGGGCAGAGAGGGCAGCGAGGGCAGAGAGGGCAGCGGGGGCAGAGAGGGCAGCGAGGGCAGAGAGGGCAGCGAGGGCAGAGAGGGCAGCGAGGGCAGAGAGGGCAGCGAGGGCAGAGAGGGCAGCAAGGGCAGAGAGGGCAGCGAGGGCAGAGAGGGCAGCGAGGGCAGAGAGGGCAGCGAGGGTAGAGAGGGCAGCGAGGGCAAAGAGGGCAGCGAGGGCAAAGAGGGCAGCGAGGGCAGAGAGGGCAGCGAGGGCAGAGAGGGCAGCGAGGGCAGAGAGGGCAGCGAGGGCAGAGAGGGCAGCGAGGGCAGAGAGGGCAGCGAGGGCAAAGAGGGCAGCGAGGGCAGAGAGGGCAGCGAGGGCAAAGAGGGCAGCGAGGGCAGAGAGGGCAGCGAGGGCAGAGAGGGCAGCGAGGGCAAAGAGGGCAGCAAGGGCAAAGAGGGCAGCGAGGGCAAAGAGGGCAGCGAGGGCAAAGAGGGCAGCGAGGGCAAAGAGGGCAGCGAGGGCAAAGAGGGCAGCGAGGGCAAAGAGGGCAGCGAGGGCAAAGAGGGCAGCGAGGGCAGAGAGGGCAGCGAGGGCAGAGAGGGCAGCGAGGGCAAAGAGGGCAGCGAGGGCAAAGAGGGCAGCGAGGGCAAAGAGGGCAGCGAGGGCAAAGAGGGCAGCGAGCTCGGGGGAGGAGAGCCAGAAGTGCGTTGCGTACAGCTGGCAGAGGGAGGCTCACAATTTTTGAGTCGGCTCGATAGACATGACATCTCACCCGAACTTGGAGTTAGCGTAGATCTCGTCTGACAGCACGTGCAGCTCGTGGTTGGTGTAGTAGCACAGAGAGCTCAGAGAGCACAGAGTGTACAGAGAGACCAGAGAGGCCAGACGTGTGTGCGCACGCAGAGCGAGGCTCACCCGAACTTGGAGTTGGCGTAGATCTCGTCGGACAGCACGTGCAGCTCGTGGTTGATAGAGCCACACAGATAGCCCAGAGAGCACACAAGTGCGTGCACAGCCAAAGCGAGGCCCACTCAGACTCACCCGAACTTGGAGTTGGCGTAGATCTCATCGGACAGCACATGCAGCTCGTGGTTGATGGCCCACAGCAGCAGCTCCTTCAGGGTGGCTTCAGGGTACAGCGTGCCAAGGGGGTTGCCGGGGTTGGTAAGCAGCAGCACGCGCGGGCGAATGCCTCTGGCCTGTGCGGCGGTGAAGGCCTCTTCCATCTCAAGGGTGGTGGGGATGTAGCTGCGCGTGTCCCGCGGCTGGATGGGGATGGGTATCACCTCGTTCTGAGTGGAGGGAGGAGTGAGGGTGAGGAGAGCGAGGGTGAGAGAGGTGGGTTGAGGGAACAGAGGGTGAGGGTAGCGAGGGTGATCATGCCCCTACACCCCTACCCACTTATCCGGATGCTCATATCAAATGCAAGGAAGTAGGGCGCATGAATGGAGCAGCTTGCAAAAAAGTTCACGCTTCCCCATACCCTCCCTCTCTTATCCCCCTATACTGCTGACCATGCACATAACCTGTTGATCATGCCCCTACCCGGATGCTCATGTCGTTGCCAAAGGCAGGGAAGTAGGGAGAGGGAATGTCAAAGACTCAAAGACATAGTATTCCATACTCTTGACCTCTACCCTCTTTCTGTTAGGCCCTTATCTTCATGCCCCTGCCCTTACCCGGAAGCTCATGTTGTTAGGGCGGGGGGATAAAGCAACATACATGGAACCTCATGCCCTTGATTCATGTCGTTGCTTGATCCATGTTTGTCCCTTGCTTTCGTGCACCCCTACCAGCATACCCGGATGCTCATGTCGTTGTCAAAGGCAGGGAAGTAGGGCGCGGGGATGAAGCAGATTGCATGGAAGGCACGCTCTTACCCCCTCTAAACCCCCTACCCTGATGCTCATGCCCCTACCCGGATGCTCATGTCGTTGTCAAAGGCAGGGAAGTATGGCGCGGGGATGAAGCAGCCCTCGCCCGCACTGCACGTGGCGAAGAAGAAAAGATCCAACACGCTGGTGGGGGGGAGAGGGGGGGAGAGTGGGGGAGAGCGGGGAGAGCGGGGAGAGAGGGGGGGGGTTAAGTTGACTCAGAAGTAGGGCGCGGGAACGAAGCAGCCCTCACCTGCACTGCACGTGGCGAACAAAAAAGTTCCAACATGCTGGTGGAGAGGGGGGAAGGGATGGGGAAAGAGAGGGGAGGGGGAAGAGGTGAGTTTTGAGTTGACACAGAAGTAGGGTGCGGGAATGAAGCAGCCCTCGCCTGCACTGCACGTGGCGAAGAAAACAGTTCCAACACGCTGGTGGAGAGGGGTGGGGGGGGTGCGGGGTGAGAGAGAAGGACAGGGGAAGAAGAATCGCAGGTAATTGCAGCACAACACTCACGTGGTAAACCCACACCATCACTCACACGACAACCCACTGTAGCACCCATGTTTATTAGTCGCCTCGGAAATTCGCAGTCACGCCGTGTGCCCCACCCATGCCATGACCCACTCACGCGGTGACGCCACTGGAGATGCAGATGTGCAGCGGATCCACATCCGTGCCCATGAACGTGCGCTGCATCATGTTGGGCGCACTCACGCTCAGTTGGTGAGTAGCCCCACAGTGACGCTCATTGGGAACAAGCACACGGTAACCCCATGGCATCATTGACACAATAGCCCCACTCACGCGGTGACGCCACTGGAGATGCAGATGTGCAGCGGATCCACATCAACGCCCATGAACGTGCGCTGCATCATGTTGGCAATGGCCTGCCTCAGCCGCTGCCCGCCCCGGAAGTTGCCGTACAGCCCGATCGTCGACGGCACCTCCCTGCAGCTCCTGTGGGGCGTCCGAAAACGACAAGATATGCCAGCCAGATGGAAGGTAACTTCTGAGCCAATTCAAGGGTCACATCATGTTGGCAATGGCCTGCCTCAGGCGCTGCCCGCCCCTGAAGTTGCCGTATAGACCTATGGTCAAAGGCACCTCCCTGCAGCTCCTGCGGGGCGGACATTGCAGAAAAATACAAGATATGCCGGCCAGATTTGAGGTACGTGTCACATAAAGTTGGCAATGGCCTGCCTAGGCCACTGCCCGCCCCTGAAGTTGCCGTACAGCCCGATGGTCGACGGCGCGTAAGGCGCAAATAAGGACAAGATACGCCGGCCAGGTAAAAGGGGAGTTTTTAGTCGACTCAGAAGTAACATAATGTTGGCGCTGGCCTGACGCAGCCGCTGCCCCCCCCTGAAGTTGCTATACAGCCCAATGGTTGCTGGCAACTTTCCGCACCTCGTGTGGGGCATAAGGCGGTTAATAGGACAAGATATGCGACCAGGCAGTTGGGTGAGGTGGCGTCATGGATTGAAAATGGGGAGGAGGGTTTATGCTGGTGCTAGACGGGTGATGTAACGTCAATCGAAATGGGGAGGGATTTTGTTGCAAGTTGGGTGATACAATGGAGCGGACTGATGTGGAAAAGTACTCAACAATTGTGGAAAAAAAAACAAAATAAATTTTGGATACAATATCCAAGAAAAATGGAAAAAAAAAAAAAAAAAAAAAAAAAAAAAAAAAACTAACTAACTAACTAACTAAAAAAATGTGGAAAAAATACTCAAGAATCTGGAAATAATACACGCTTGAAAGAGCGTGGTCAGGATGGAAAACAATACTCGAGGCCTTTAGGGCAAAGGGGGAGAATACTTATGACAGTGAAGGGAAAGGGAGACGACTCAAAGACTCTGAAGAAAAAGGAAGGATGATGTTCCAAGGCTGCCTTACTTGATCTTCTCATGGATCAAGTCGAACGTCAGGACAGTCTCTGCTTGTGCCATCTGCGAACGGGCGAGCGACACAAACGAAAAAAAAAACAGCACAACGCAGTGGCGGTACTCATCAACGCAGGCAGGTTGCATTGCAAAAATCATCAGGACCTGAATTGGTACCACAGGGGACTCAACACCTCACAAATCGACCCTCCCTTTCGAATCCTAGCTAAACTCTGAATTAGAGGCCTCTCAGAAACAGACTCGGCCGGATCAAGTCCCTCGAAAACGAAATCCACCGACCAGAAAGAATCCATCCGGTGTTTCATCCGAGTACGGCTCTTAAGACGCCTTAAAATTCGTATTAAAAAACGAGCACGGCCGAAATAAAATATTCTGGAAAACAAAATCCCACCGACCAGAAAGTATCCATCAGGCGTTTTTTCCGAGTAGGGCTCCTCCTTGGCCTTGTTGACCGCATTGATGTACGGCGAAAACGGCACCAGAGCGCGCGCGCCCCGCGACGACAAACTCGTCTTCCGACTACCACCCGACGCGTTCCGCGCGCCGTCTTTCCCGTCCGCTCCCCCCCCCGTTATTCCTCCGTCCGCCCTGCTGTCTACCACCTCGTCGCCCGGCAGCTCCCCCGGTACCGGACACTCCACCGACATCGCTCGAAATGGTGTTCCTGGTTACCAGGTTCGGGTTACCAGGTTTGGGTTACCAGCTGCGGTTACCGGGACTGAGATATCAGACTACTGGTCGCGTGGATGGCAATGACTCAATAGCAAAGAGTGAATGTGCTTTCTGAGATGTTATGGTCACCTAAGATGTGCGTGGAGGTGCGGCCAGCCTACATCCCCAGATTCTACCAGCCCGTCTCATCTATCGAGGCGACCATGCGACCAAGTGCCTTGGTGAACAAGAGCTCAGAATTCCGATTTGTGCGGCGGGCGGACAGGAGAAAACTAGAATCGCGAGGGGGCTGTCGCCTGCCGGGAATGACCTCGAGTTTCCCGCCATTCCTTGGGATTGGGCCTGTCTAAATTCAACGTATCGGATGGCTGCGGGGGTGTTTGGTCATTGCAACCTGGAGGTACACGCTGACACTATTTGTTTTTCATATACCAGGTATTCATATCCAAGCTGGAGGTAGTACCGGTAGGTACCTAGTATTCCATTCACATCAGAGCCCATCATGCAAGGTTTCTACTGTGAAATTCAATCCATATGCATCTGCATTATCATTATTTCATATTTCTAAAAATAGCAACTTTCGGGGAAAACAACTGGAACCGTTAATCCCTTTGATGTATCAGCATGTCGGCCATATCATAAATCATTATATATTATAGTCTATCGATGAAATAGTATACGCTAATGATCGTGAATGTAGTTTGAGAACGTAATGTGCTTTGAGTTATATGTATTTCATGTATTCTTACATAGAATCAACTCTCGCATCAGTATAGGGGTAACATGTGGTGCACCGATCTGCGGTACGTGCGTCGCCAATCTTCAAATTCCCACGGATTCCGCTCCCAGTTCTCTGGAATTCTTCGCTAGACCTCCTCGTCTCATCGCCGCAGATCCCAAGGCCCGACACTCACGCTTGTTCCACACCATGCTCACATCTCCACAAAGCCCAAGGCCTGACCACCACCACAATTCTTTCCCAGCAAATCAGTGATCACTCTTTTCTGCTCCCTGTCGGATCAGACTAGCCGCACTGCTGCCACATGATCCATCAGCGACCAGAAACTCCATCTGGTCTGAGCAGTGCCGCAAAGGCCGCTCGCTTTTCGTATACATTTTATTATTCGCTTATATCGGTATCTGCTCAGACTGGTAGTTAAAGCCGTCGTCTGTTTGCCAGTTGATGATCCGCTCGCGCGCCGTCCACAGGCTCCTCGCGTCTTCTCTTTCGTACCGCTGTTTAAGCGTCACCGCTCCTTGCGACGGTGACTCCACTGCGGGGGGTCTTCTAAGCAAAGTGTCACCATCCGCGGTTAGTGCGTGAGGTTTCCTCCGGTTCGATGAGTCGCTGCATTGTTGTTTTTTATCAACAGAAGCTCCGATTGTCGATTTGACGTTGAATCGGCATAAGTGGCTGGAGAAGGCTGCGGAAGGGATTTCCAGCTCTGGAGTGTCTCTCTGCTGGGATTTACCTTTTTTTTTAGTAGTACCGATCCGCCTACATTTGGTTAGAACCATTTTTTTTCAAGTTACCAATCCGCATGCATTCTGGTTACCTTCCTCTTGTCAAGACGAGTCAATATGGCCTCTACTTCCTTGTTCAAGGGTCCCACTTTCGCGCATTTTGTCGCCTTCGTTCCCTTACGTACTCCCCTTCCTTTTTCTTGCCGTTTCGTACCTTTTTCCGTGCTCTTTTCGCGTTACTTTCGCGATCGTTTTTGCATGCTCCTATCGCACGCCTTTGTCAATTCCCTCAGAGCGGCAGCATACCAAGCGCGGACAAGGCCAGCAGCGCGTCAGCCGCCAGGAACAGCAACAGCAGCAGCAGCGGTAGTTTCGGCGCCATGGATCGCGAGCGGTTCTTGGGCGTGTTCCAGCAGCTCAAGGCGGAGCTTCTGGGCGAAGACAAGCTGTTCTCGTGCACGCCGGACTCGAAAACATGGATGGAGAAGGTGCGTGTAGGGTAACGTGGTGCGGATCACTTGCAGTGTAGGGTAGAGGCTGTATGAGACTTGAGCAGCTCAAGGGAGAGCTGCTGGGCGAAGACAAGCTGTTCTCTTGCACGCCGGACTCGAAAGCGTGGATGGAGAAGGTGCGTGCAGGATGGCGTGCTGCGGAGCGGATCACTTGGTGCTCACTTGCAGTGTACGGTAGAGAGGCTGTGAGGCTCAAGCAGGTCAAGGCGGAGCTGCTGGAGAGGACAAGCTGTTCTCGTGCACGCTGGATTCGAAAACGTGGAAGGTGCGTTCAGGATGGCGTGCTGCGGATCGCATGCAGTGTAGGGCCCTGTTTGTAGGCTACTAGGCATCTCGAACGTGCTGAAGTTCACATGCAGTATAGTCCCCTGTTTTTAGGCTCACCGCTCCTCTCTGCATGCTTTACCCTCTCCGTCTCCGCCCCGTTTCCTCCCCGTTTCCTCCCCATCTCCTCCCCGTCTCCTCCCCATCTCCTCCCCATCTCCTCCCCATCTCCTCCCATCTCCCCTCCATCTCCTTCCCAACCAACTCCTCCCAATCCCCTCTCCATGGCCGTCCCTGTCCCCATCGCCCTCCCGATCTCCACGTGGACGCCGCGCTGTGCTCCTCAACTCAACTCTCGTGTTTGTCGCCTCTGTGCTCGGCTGGGCTCGGCTCGGCTGTGGGACGACACCGCTCGTCAGAACATCGACCACAATGTGCCCGGAGGTATGCTCGTGCTGCTGCCCTGTCAGTGCTCGCCATGCCACCTCGGCAGCCTGTTTGTTGTGCCCATTCATCTGGTACACTCTAGTCAGCACACTCTGATAAGCACATTCTGCTCAACGCACTCTGATCAGCGCATTGGTAGACACATTGGGGTGGTGGACACAGTGGGGATTCTCAAGTGCATCTTCAGTCAAGCCGTCTCCCATTCACCTTCCTGTGTGCGCTATGCCTCTCACCTCCCTCCCCCCCCTACTGTGCACACCAGGCAAGCTGAACCGTGGGCTGTCAGTGGTGGACACGGTGGGGATTCTCAAGGGCGGCTTCGATAAGCTATCGGAAGATGAGGTCTTCAAAGCCAGTGCTGTCGGCTGGTGCATCGAATGGGTATGGCCCCATGGGTGTTTGTTGAATGTGCATAGCTAGTGGTGAACTGAATGGGTATGGCAGGTGTATTAAAGGTGTACGGCTGGTGAATTGAATGGGTATGGCTGGTACATTGAACAGTTATGGCTGGTGAATGTTGTGATTGTGGTTGGCGTATTGAGTTGAGTGGGGTATGGCTGCTGCATCGAATGGGTATGGCTCACGACACACCCTCCCCCTGCCCCTATACCAGCCTTCCCCTCCCTCCTCTCCCATCTGCTCCATGTGCAGCTGCAGGGCTACTTTTTGGTGACCAATGATATCATGGATAGCTCCATCACCCGCCAGGGCTCTTCTCTCCATCACGCCATCTTCTCAGCCCTCCATGCATCCCCACCCACCCCCAACCCCTCCTCCCTGCCCCCCATTGCGGCTGCAGGCCTACTTCCTGTCAATCGATGACCTCATGGATAGCTACATCCATCAACGGCCCTCACCCTCCCCACCGCACCCTCACCCCCCCTTCCCACCCAAACCACCTTCCCTTCCCGCTGCCGCCCTCCCCCCTGCTACCCCCTACAGCTGCACGCCTACTTCCTGGTGGTCGATGAAATCATGGATAGCTCCATCACCCGCCCTGAACTCCCCAACCCTCCCCTCCTCCCCCCCACGCGCTTCCCCTGCCCCCCCTCTTCCCCTGCTACCCCCTGCAGCTGCAGGCCTACTTCCTGGTGGTCGATGACATCATGGATAGTTCAATCACCCGCCGAGGCCAGCCGTGCTGGTACCGCATGGACAAGGTGCGTGCAGGCGTGGCGATTGGCTTCTGCTGTGCTGTGCTGTGCTGTGCTGTGCTGTGCTGTGCTGTGCTGTGCCATGCGCTATGCCATGTCCTGTGCTATGCTATGCTGTGCCATGCGCTGCTGTGCTGTGCTGCTGTTCTGTATGCAATGTGGACAAGGTGAGTGGGCAATGCACAGGGCGTGTGTGGGCAAGGTGAGTGGGCGGTGCACAGGGTAAGGCTTGCACATCTTCCTCATCCCCAGCTTTGCATGCCTACGCATGCTCCCCTCCCTTCATCCGTGCATTCGGCCATGCACCCATGCACCCATGCATCCATGCATCCATGCGCCCATCCACCCATGCACCCATGCGCCCATGCACCCATGCACCCATGCGCCCATGCACCCATGCGCCCATGCACCCATGCACCCATGCACCCATGCGCCCATGCACCCATGCGCCCATGCACCCATGCACCCATGCACCCATGCGCCCATGCACCCATACGCCCATGCACCCATGCACCCATGCCCCCATGCGCCCATGCATATCCATGCATCCATGCACCCATGCAACCATGCATCCATGCACCCATGCACCCATGCGCCCATGCAACCATCCAACCATGCACCCATGCATCCATGCGCCCATTCATCCATGCACCCATGCATCCATGCACCCATGCATCCATGCGCCCATTCATCCATGCACCCATGCACCCATGCACCCATGCACCCATGCATCCATGCATCCATCCACCCGTACACCCATGCACCCATGCATCCATCCACCCGTGCACCCATGCACCCGTGCACCCATGCACCCATGCATCCATCCACCCATGCACCCATGCACCCATCCACCCATGCACCCATCCACCCATGCACCCATGCACCCATGCACCCATGCATCCATCCACCCGTGCACCCATGCACCCATGCATCCATCCACCCATGCACCCATGCACCCATCCACCCATGCACCCATCCACCCATGCACCCATGCACCCATGCACCCATGCACCCATGCACCCATGCACCCATGCACCCATGCATCCATCCACCCGTGCACCCATGCACCCATGCATCCATCCACCCATGCACCCATGCACCCATCCACCCATGCACCCATCCACCCATGCACCC